CCGTGACTAATAAATCAATTGGAAAGTTAAATACTCTCAATAAACGGCAGATAAAAATGCTAGTTAAAAGATCAACAAACAAATAAATAAAAGCATAATACAGCTATAAAACTGAACTACTTGTAATCGGAGCATACAAGTCGATACCTACTTGGGCAATGGCCATTTATTATAATTTGTATCAGACTTAGATAATAAGAGGGTATCTTATTCCAGATTGCCATATAGACTGCAAAAAATAAAAGTAATGGATGTAATTGCAGAAAATCTCATTATATGTATGTAAGTGTGGGAGATTCATGCTTCGGCCTCACTGAAAACCGGCGTGAAACAACCACAGAGTTGTGTTTCGCCGTGTGAGAGGCCCAATCCTTCCCCAATCCCTAAACCTCCAAATCCCTAAACCCCAAAAAGCCGGCAAAGCACTCGTAACTCCTCGGTTGCGGGTGTTTTACGGGCGGCGCTGATTGCTTACCGTCAGGTAATCCGTCTGCTCGTTTTCCGACCTATTACATAAAAAAACCTCAAAGAATTTGACAAATTATTCTTGAACTGCCGCACAAACATCTTTGATATAAAGTACCTATCTCAATATAAAACCTAAATCGTAAATCGTTTTAACTTTCATTATTTAAAACGCAAAAACGGCTGATCTGATTTTCATGATACTTTCTGTGTCAGACTCCTCTTCAGCCGAGTTTACAAAAAAAGCTATAAAAACGACCCCACGTTTTGACGTGCCTTCCGGGGCGATAGGAATATGCCAAAACGGCTAATTAGGTTACCAAACATCAAATAAATAGTTATGAACTGATTTACCATGAAAATAAAGTTGAAAATCGAGCTAAAGCAATTCAATTTCTGCACCGACATTGATATCCATGACAAACGTATCGATTACAGCGAACAGACAGTGGCACATCGACATACAATACGATAATCTGTCAAATTCTGTCAATTGATTTTCGACTGTGTTCACAGAACAACACAGTCGAAAAAGTATTGAAGTAATTTGAGATATTGGAGTACGGTATCATACGATGCAGGTTGTTATTGCGACAAGGTCACGGCGCCGCCGTGCGTGGAAGCACTAGACCTTAACATTCATTACAAGTGTTCATCGTATCATTTGATGTCAGAAATAAAATCTAGACTTTTTATGGAATACTCGGCCAAATTGATCTAATGGTAAGAAATCAGTGTCACCCATTGACAATCGACAAACCCAAAAAAAAAAAAAATTCTCTCTATACTTGAAAGATTTAGATTTTCGATCAAGGGCTGTTTTTCAATAGTCAGATAACTGTTATCTGAGGAATAAAATTGTTGCTGTCACTGTCTTATACAAACATTCTGACGCGACAGCATCATAATTATTCCCCAGATTACTTTTATCTAACCATTGAAAAATTAGCCCTAAATGTTCATCTAGTGACGATTTATCCTTCCAAGTAACATTGGTATGATAATATCACTATTTAAGTTGTTGCATTATGTCATCGCATCTGTTTTTCCACTAAAGTGTAGATGTCAATGTGTAGCTAACTAGCTACATCTGCTTTTAGCCAGTTATGCTAACTCACAAATGCGGCCTTATTGTTACAGAACAGTTATATCTAATTCCACTATCAGGATATTAGAGAAATTCTTCCGAGTAGATATTTTCACTACTTTTTCAGCTTTCAGCTTTTTACTCTGTCAGACTCTTACTGACTAAATACCATCCCGTTTAAATGACGCTAGCCCTAATGTGCCACATCTGTGGTGGTCTTTTGTTTCTACGAGGCGCGAGCCGCACGAGTCCGCGCCGTATCGTAGGGTCTGAGCTGGTCAAACTAGAGCTTCTTTACGCTTGCCTTAGCTCTACCTAGGGCTTTTGGGAGGATCAGTGGTGCTTGTACTTGTTGTATCATATGCTTGTTTTCTCATAGAACTCTGCTTGTAATTAAGTACTTTAAAGACTTCGGTCGTCCAACAACTGCCAGTCACTTGTAATTGCCAATACAACATCAACCCCGACCAGAACCAGACCCGAGCGTACGGCGCGTAGCGTTCCGTGCGCGCTCAAAGAGCCAATTATACCACAGATGGGGCTCTATAGGGCTTATATTCAGCCGGGGTTGCGCGCAATTAGTCGCCGCAGCCTCGGCCTAAAGCGGGAGGAACGGCGGGTTTATAGTCAGTAAGAGTTTGACATTCCCTCACCCTGTGTGGGAGGAGTCATTTGATAACTTTCCCTTGACAAAAAAAACATCTACACGATGCCTTTTCTTTTGCTAGATCTTTTTAAATATGTGCGTCAATGTCTCAAATACGCACAAACGTATGAAAAGTAGTATCTGCGCAGTTAGCTAATCTAATTGAGATAGACTTCTGATACAGATCGATCTTGAGATACACGTAATTAAGGCCAGAGTTGTAGCACAAGTCCTATTGTAGTTGGTCTGATAAGACATTAATTGGAAGTAGGAAGGATCATTTATAGCCATTTACGCGACCGAGAAAAACAGGATCATTACTAATAAAGATTTCATACTTATAGCATTTGTTTGTCAACGTAAAATAAGATTAGATAAGCCTACATACATATCTGTATGTTGCGAGTATTGATATGATATTGATAAACCATTCTAGAAAGCGTGATAATATTGTTTGGAGGACGGACGGAAATTGCTTCGTATTGTTTGTCCAAAAATTGGTACTTATACGAAAAAATATGCTTTTTTAATCTTGTGTAAGGCAAATCTGAATTTGTTAGACACATCCGATTGAGAGACGGGAAATTAAAAAGTTGAGGAGTATCAGAAAACAGTAGCACCTAATCGAATCGAAATAGTCGAATGTGTAGTTGCTTGTTCAGTCCTTATGAACCCCCGTAAACAGTGGTGGTGGTGACTGATGTTACCTCATCACGACTCTATCTTCTGGGGTTGCAGATGCATCAGCGGGCATTGCAAGTCCAAGCGGAATATTGTACCGCGGCCCCGGCCGCACAGGACAGGGAATGGTGTAGTTTTTAGTTATTAAGAGCCTCTCACCATACCCAAGGTGGGAGATGAGAATGATTTTCACCGCTTTAAAAAACGGCTCTATCTGCTGAACGTATCCAACTATGCTCTGACCATGAGTTTTAACCAAGAAGCTATGTACTTTTAATCAACAAATAAGTAGCTGGCTATTTCACTACCACATTCCTCGTCAGATCCTTCAAATTTCCAATATTTCAAACTCCTGACTTTACATTAAAGAGCTTAATATCTAGCAGCTAAATAAAGAATGCACGTATATAGGCGAATTATGACGACATTGATATAGATTCTAAAAGAATGACTAATGCTACCTATCAAATATCTTGACCATGATTTTCATACATTTTAAGACTTGATAATGAATCTTTCAAATGTTTAAGGAACACGATGATTAATCATCACATAAGGCTTCTTTATGCAAGTACTTGAGATTCTCGAGCCATAGTAGTATGCAATGTTGCATCCTCGTAATTCTCGTCGCTCAAAACGTGGCCCATACTAGTCCTTGGATGTTTTTACAAACATCGAACCGGAGTAACAATTTGTGGATCACTATAACAGTTTTCTTGTGCGGGAAACGACCACAAGACACGTTGTAAATGTTGCTTAAATGTGTAATCGACTAATGTCGATTCAATTGTCATTAGTACAGCACTAATGACGACCACACTAATATTATAAATGCGAAAGTAACTCTGTCTGCTTGTCTGTCTTTTCTTCACGCCTAAACTACTGAACCGATTTCTGTGAAATTTGGTACAGACATCGTTTGGAACTCGAGAAAGGACATAGGCTAGTTTTTATACCAAATGTCTGCAGGAAGTCTGAAGAAGCTATTCCACGCGAACGCAGTCGCAGGCAAAAGCTAGTAATTCATAATTCAAATAGTATTGCTCAATACCCGAATATGAAAGTCTTCTCTTATTATAAGACCACAAAGGACTGGAATCAGATCTATTCAGTATTCAGCATGACCCGTCGTATAAAAATCCGACAAAACTTAGCAAAGAATGCTTATCACTTTTCTTTGTAAAATCACTTTTGACATCGCTATCCATATAATTACACGCACCAGTGAAATTGAATCTAGTTAAGATTAAATTAATGAAGTTCGTAAAGAATGACCTTCACCAATGACATTGTCGGTAAAGGCAAGGTTGGGAGACACGCTAAGGATCGCCACTACGACTTTCAGGTCACGTAGTTAATTTTCAACCGTATCCCAATGATGATAAAGTCTAAGATGGTTCTGGTTATAACTTTCGGCGTTTGTGGTTACATTTTTTTGTTGCTAGACTCTTTTTCAAGTTATTTTATGTGGGAGGTGATGACCTATGAGAGAACATGTGTGAAGTAACCCTACAGATAGGATATAGAGGGATTTCAGTTTACAAAACTCACGCTAAATTGGTTCTAAACGACGTGCATACAGAAATCAAAGTAACTTAGTCAAACCATTAGAAAAAAATACTTATCAAAATGTTATCACCACAACACTCTCCGCTTTGTAGGAGTGTTATGAGCTTTATCAATTTAGATACAACTTTTTAGGTGCTGGCAAACCAAATATGTTGTTTTCAAGCATTAGGTTGGTGTGTAGGGACTCTAGTCTAATATAGTAGTTTCCAACTAGCTAAATTCAATATTTTTATCCTAATGTCAAAAACAATACTTATGTATGAAATTTGTATGAAACTCTCAATTATGACGTCATAGTATTTTTGCATCAAATAGCTTACTTATTTCTTAAGAATTACCCAAAATCATCGAAAATTTAGTTTTATTGACAGATCAAAGAAATTTTTTTCAATATTTTACTGTATAGAAATGTTGAATTAATTTATTTTTGACCCTGGAAACTACTTAATTGGTAAATAAACTGTCTGAGACAGACTAGATCAGGAATTGTATGATTAAAATTGTCTAGATAGAGATCTGAAAATAGTGAAACAATATAAAAACTATTCTTACCAACAATAACAGCACCAGCTTGAGCTTCTCCAAGGAGCGCTTCCTTGTATTTCCTTAATGACTCATCCTCTTGGTCAGCCGCCAGGATCTCATCAATAGTCTTTTCTGGAGGTGGTTTGTACGAGGACTTGATTTCTTCTTCTTCCTCCTCCTCAGGAGTACGGGTCACTTCAGGTTCTCCAGACATGATTTAAATCTAAAAATAAAAGAAGTTATGAAAAATTTGCAGACAATTGTGGTTATTCTGTTTTTACTAGCATTCTGTGTGTTTGTGTACATGCATTGCTATTTATGAAAAATGATAATAAAGTACTTAATTATTAATCTGGTTTTATGTTGCAGGTGGGTGGTGGAGACAAGACTACAACATGTGTATAATTTGAGTATGGCCTTCGATATGAAATCATAATATTAGAGAGAATTTAGAAGTAGCCTAAAAATAAGGTAAATTATGTGATAGAAACTATGAGAATTTCTTTTATATTATAATAACAATGAGTATAGAGATATAGAAATAATAGAGAACTTTATTCTTTGTAGGAATGTATGAAAATCTATAACAAGCCACTGTAAAGTGGTAAGCATTTCCCTTCAAATGCAAAGCATGGGTAACTAACCCATTTAAAGAGGTGCCTTTTCAAAGGGTAGAAGTTTAATTTCTGATATTCTATTTATCAATAGGCTATTTCTAAATGCACTAAACAAAAATATTTAACCTATAATATTATGATATTTATTTCAATGAATTATGATTAGCCTGTCTGATAGGGACTCTTGAAGTACTTTAGCCTCATATAATATCAGTTTGACATATAGGGATCACAATAGAAAATGAGTAATTCCTATTGACATTATGATTGTATATACTTGTATGCAAATAAATATTATGTTTTCTATTGTGTAATTATGATAAATGGTTTGTTGTAGTGGTTGTAAGGTGTGTCTATAATTAATAAAATGAGTTATATTGGAATTTTGTCCTGTTGTATTTAAATTACATTCATAACACAACTTTCAATAGCCAAAAAGTGGCCAATTCTGTAATAAATCCCAGGGTATTTTAAATAATTTACAATTGTTTTATAAGGAAATTTATGTGAGAAGTGAAATATATAGCAAGTTTGATTTTAATGTTTAAGTAATTCAATATTCAGGAAAATATGGATAATGTTTGAACATTACTATGAGTATCTATCTATAAAAGATTCATATTGGATTTATGTTTTTAACTAACATATTTGTCTCAATAATATGCCTATTCTCCTAACTATTTAAGTTAATCTCCCTAGGTACTGAGTTCATACAAAGGTTACAAGGTGATTGTGAATTATAATTTTTGATGTTTTCTACCAGCATATATTTTGTATCTATAATATGCCTATTTTCCTAACTATTTAAGTTCATTTTCCTAGGTACTGAATTCATTCAAAGGTGATTGATTTTTGTTCACATAAATGATTTTGTAATAGTCACATAGTCACAAGTGTGATTGAGATTGTGTAGTTCTAGCAGTATCTTAAATAACAAAATGAGAGGGAATTTATTGGATGTATTCAGCTATCAATATAGCTAAATAGCTTGATGTTAAAGCATGTACATAATTAAATAGGGAATTAAATGCATATTATACGGCTTGGGGTAAAATGTCACATGCGCCGTTGTCACCGTATGAATCACACACCCCCCCATAACCTATGCGTTTTATAAATAACGCTTACATTCCCTATAAAATTAAATGCAAGAATATTATCTACGAAACCGGATTCACGCGATACGCACAGATAAAGTATATTACAAAACCGCTTTCCTTGGAACTATGAAATGTAAGCTTCTCAGTGGAACCGCCCAAAAAAATTAAATTCGTAAACTTATTGCACACAAAGTCTGTAAATTAAATTGAAGTTCAATTTAAAAATAAACTATCACTGCCACACGTAATGACTCCCTACATCCCACAATAACAGAATTAAGCGGCTTCGTCACTACAGCTCACTCAATAAAGCGACAAGCGACATACGCAGCCTTATCACGACATTCACATTATAACTTCGATATAACTTACGTTTCAATATAAATTACCGCTGTGAGAAAATCAAATCAATAACTTGCAATTGCACAGGTGAAATAAGCACAAATTAGCACCAAATAAAGATAAACAACTTACGAAAATTAGCGTTTTGTAAAATCTATAGATCAAAAATGACGGACAAAACGATTCCGGGCGGTCATCGAACTCTCAAAATTAATTTATTCTTTGAAATGGCCGGACGACATTTGCAACTCTAGAACATCATAATTATTTCTATCTCACTTTTTTCGCCGATCTCTTTTTCTATTGTGGTACAACAAACAGAGATGGCAATATATTGCAGACCAGAATGTTTAGTGTTACCAGACTGAGAAGTTTTGTCTATGACATAATTGTCTATGAAACTTCCGGTAAACTTTGCCTATCTATGGACTATTTACCGTATTAAAAAATAAAACTAATTGAAAAAATACAAAATAAATAGTTGCCTTGTTGCTAAACAATTAAATAAAACTGAAGAAATGACAACGCGACAACATGTAGCAAAAAATGTTGCAATCGGTCATACAAAAAATACTATACTGTTGACTAAATATGAATATTCTAAATAAAGAGTTTTTTTAATAAAAATAATTAAATAATCGAGTGACATACCTACTTGCTTTTTAATTGTTATTAGAATAAATTCATGAAATTAGAAGAAGTTTTCATTGCTTATACAAGTGTATAGTAGTCGTCACTTAAGTCAATATTGTCAATGTCAATTTTATCGCCGAAACTTCAAAATGTCATACTTTCAAGTTACAATGTCTAACTCTAAATTCAAATGTCAGTTTTCAATGTTATTGTCGCGTGATACGGAAGAGAAAAAACTCGTAATATCCAAATATGAGGCTTATAAACAATCATCATCTCTTTCTTTACAAATTACACACATTATATAAGCACAAAGTGTGACGGAATCAGCTAGCTAAAACCATAACCTCTTATAATACATCATTAATTAACAGGAAAATAAGTCGTATTATTTTATTAGAAGTAAAATGTGCATAAGATGATAAATATTAGCCACAAACTTTACTCTCTACACGCTAAAATGTTTGTAAGTACACATCTGCCCTGCTTAAGTCCTTTATTTGACCTCATTCATTAACTTCATGTTTTTCTTATTTTTATAGAAACCCAAGATTTTCCGCCTTCCAGTAATAGTTAGAAGTCAGAACCATCTTATAAGACCTTGTACCACGACGTCCCAAACAGTAGACGATGAAAAAGCGCGCGAATTAGAAAGAATTGCTAAAGAAGTAAGTATCAATGTACAAATTTGCTGTAAATTATTTTTCCACTTAACTTCAATGAAAAGAGAGTTAAAAAAACATATGGGTGATGTTTGTAATTGTTGCTAGTGGCATACATGATTGTCTAGGCTCACCATCAAAACCTAACATTGTGCAAAGAAAATTTTAAGATGTCAATAGTTACTTAGACATCACTACTTCAGCAAGGTAATTTAATATTTACTTTTCAAATTCCAGGCTTCAATAGATGAGCCACCAACAAGTTGTTGCCAATCCGGATGCGCAAATTGTGTGTACATAGCATGGGCTGAAGCCCTCTCGGCCAAGATACAAAATGTTGGTCCAGAAGTCAGTGACAAAATATTAGAAATGGTACAAGACCCATCTATGAAAGCTTACCTTGAAATGGAATTAAGGATAAGAGGGTTAAGAAAATGAGTTTGTAGGTATAACTAATTATTAAAAAAACTTAAAAAATATCATAGGTAACAATATTAGCTTAGGTAATAATATACAGTAAGACTTGGAGAAAAGCCTAACTAGGCTTTTCTCCAAGTAAATTCTTTTAAGTTTTTGAATGCTGATAGAAAACAAATGAAAGCAAATCCTTAGCTATGGTAGGTCATCTTTGACCAACATGGCAGTTAGTGTGTTTAACTGCCCCTAACCCCCTTATTACAAAACAAGAATATCTTAGTCTAGGTTTAAACCATTGAGTCAGATTTTGTATTTTGAATCTTATTTTCACCTGCCTTAAATTTGGAAAGCAAAAACTGGCTCAACAATTTAAAACTAGACTGAAGAAAAGTTTTGTAATGAGGTCATAAAGGTTTACTTTGAAAGTAAATAGAGTCAGCTCCTGCTGTAAAGGTAGAGGAAACTATTTGTTGATTTCTCTAGTAATATCATCCGATTTCTTTCCATATTTTCTAAGACAGTTACTCAAATCCTTGAGAGGCCTGACATAATTATTCTTTGGTTTCAAAGTTGATATTTACTGTACGGCTTTCAGGAGGTGCAGTGGCTTGGGTGATTGAGTCTGACTTGTCCCATAAAACACCTAGAGCATTATGTAAAAATGTAGTTACCAAAATGAATCTTAAAATTGTGTAGCCTATCTAGCAAATAGCAATGCTTTCCATTTCTAATTTTATGTTTTTTGTTAATATAAATGTATATAATTGTGCATACTAGTAGGTACATGTTTTAAAATCATTCTATTTTTTTATCATTTTAATATGTATCTAATATATTTTTTATATTTTATTTTAAATTTTAATAGATGATATTTTGTGTCACTAATTTCAATTTAGCTTCTAGTATTTGTTGTACAAAAATGTGATATTGTCAACCATTACAAGTTTATAACTACATATAATATTAGATAAAAATAAAATATAATATAATGAATTGCTTTAGAAATACTGCAGACCTACCGCGGCTTTGCAGGGGCTCAATGCTGATACTAAATTTCTCCTCATCAACATCATCATCACTCTATTAAAAACACCGCATAAAAGTCTATTGTGTAGTTTAAAATCTTTAAGCTCACATAAAATGGATATATGGAAAATGAAAGCCACTCAGTTTTATAGTATGTAGTGATAATATTTCTGTGTAACTCTAAAACTACAATAATTTTTGTCAAATATAATTTTGTGATATGTTGTGATAAAAGAATTTGTATAATTTTTTATTATTTAATTTATTTCACGCTCTAGTAATAATACAGTGTAGATATTGTACAGAGATGTAGCTATGTTTTAAATGTATATATATATATAAATAAATTATCATATCTCAGGAACTAAACGTTTTATTGTAACAAAAGAAATAATATGTCATGTTATTCTCGACACTTCCATCAGACCTCGGCACATAAATACCGCCGCCTCGGCCTTGAGCAGGAGCACAGAGTATATTATATACTTATACTAACAGGAGCAGGAACAGGATTTAGTCAGTGGGAGTCTGATAGACAAAAATTGACTTTTTTGTCTTGAATCGTATCCTTAACTCGAAAAACGTCGTTGCATCAAGTGTGGGAGAGCCAAGGTTTGGCACGAACGGCTCGGCTCGACCGGATACCGACATGAAAAAACCACAGCGTTGTGTTTCGCCGTGTGAGTGAGGTTACCGGAGGCCCAGTCCGATCCCTTCCAATCCCTCCCAATCCCTTAATCCCAAAACCCTAATACCTACAAGGTTGGCAACGCACTCGTAACTCCTTCGTGGCGGCGCTGATTACTTACCATCAGGTAATCCGTCCGCTCGTTTGCCGACCTATACACTAAAAAAGTAATAAGTACCACCTACGGTGATTAAGCACACTACAATTATTTATTATCGTAGTATGTTTTTTGACTAAAATACTGGTTGTAGGGTGAAGGGATTGTCATGAAAATCGAGTTAGTATCCACTAATGCCCGGTTCCTATAATTGAGAAACGATCCGTTTTAGTTACGAATAGTAGTTTTATATACGACTCGTAAGCTAAAACCGTTCCTATAACAAACGTCTCGTCGTGCAACTTACTGACGGTTTGCAACTAACGGATGTCGGTAAGCGAATTGTATGGAGATCTATGGTGTCTGTGGTGTTCCTATAAATATTTTAACCGTCAGTAGACGGTCAAGATAACTATTCGTAATGTCATTTGGTCGTAATGCGTATACAACGACGATTCGTTAAATATAGGAACCGGGCATAAAACAATCCGACAACTTCTAAATATGAAAAAAGTAGGTAGTTTTTATATCTACTTACCAATTAACATTGCGCAATAGTTAATTCTCTTTTCAAAATGCGATGCTAAAATTTATCGCCGGATACTGTAGGTAGGTGCATACCTACATATCAATTTATGTATTACGTTGTGTCTGTTTTTATTGCAGAAGGAAGTTAGTTGGCTACCTACAGCCTTCAAAACCTTCATTTGAATGTTAATTATTTGGGTATAGGTAGGTTCAACACTCAATTTACATGTTGAGTGAAAGAAAACTGAAGCCAATCAAAATTTTTGGGGCTTTTCATTAACTCCCTAGTTGAGTTTGTGAATTAAGGCGAAGGTATACGTCTCAACTTAATTATAATACCTAATCGTATTTGACTGCACGGTTGGTGTAGCGACCTGGCAAAACGTATCATGGATTCAGAATGGAACAACGCTGCATGATGCATAAGTTATAGTTCCGGGTCTGGATGTGATTTTTATGAGGAGAAACGAGAAACAAAAATATTTCGTCCCACTTTAGTCCGCTGACTGATAATAATACAACACTTAAATCGAGAATCCTGGACTATATCTATATATTTTATATGATATTTATTATCTAAGTAGTCCTAATAATTCATTTTCAAACTTCGTGCTAAGTTCGGGGCTGTAAAGCTGGGCCTCCACAAGCCCTTGACACGATTTCCACCTAATGAACTTTAGTGCTTCTCCATGCGCCTTCAATCCTATAGGTGTCTACAGGAAGCTGCGTAATGCGTAATGTTATCGGCCGTAGTTAGCAATTGCAATGAGTTACCAGGGCCTCGGCCTAGAGTAGGAGAAGTCTGACACTCCTTCCGCGTCACCCTGGGCGAGGAAGTCATTTGATGATGTCCTGATGACAATATAGAAGATTTACAAAGTTAAACCAAAAATCAGGCAGGTTAGCCGAACGGGTGAATTTCAGAACCCGTAACCGTGGCCCATGGACCACCCTTGAACAAATAATGGCGATTTTCCATACCCTAAAGGTAATACGATACCTAGTTAAGTATAGGCATCTCAGTCTAATATTGACTGTACGGCAACGTGACCCGGGTTAGATTCGCGCAAGGAACAACTCTGTGTGCGTGATCCACAAATAGTTTTTCCGGTCTAGGGGAAATCTTTATCGAAATTGTCAGGTAGGTATTAAGAAATCGAATACGAACCTCATAGATATGTCTATGTTGACCTTCGACTTACAATAGGATAACATTCTAGTGTTAGAGAAACTAGTTGTTTAGATTTTGGGTACCTGCCTATTTAACTGGGATAGCAGGCCAAGTAAAAAAATGTCCGTCGCCGCGTCGGTCAGTTCTCTTACTGAAGCTCGTCCCCAAGTTAAGATTGGAGAAGAACGGGTAGGAATCTCCTTGGTTAGCAATTTATCTATACTAATATTATAAAGAGTTAAGTTAGTTTGTAAGTTTGTATGTAGGCGGTAATCATTGGAACCGGTGGTCAGATTGCCAATTTTTTTTTTTTTTTATAGGTAGCTACAATGTTCCTGAGTGCTATAGGCGATAAAACATCACGGTACGATCAAATGTAGCCGAGCAGCGGGTGAAACCCCGCGAGATAAGCTAGTACTTAAATAATAAAGCGGAATAACGTATCGCGAAGAAGGATCTTCTTGAAGAAGGAAAACAAACGGGGTGGTTTTTAGTCAGTACCTAACAGTCTGACTTTCCGTCGAGCCCCCACCCAAGGCGAGAGAACTCATATATCATCACGAGTCGCCCTCAAAACCAAAAGGTGCCTTCCCTAAGCTTTCGCTGGTGAGTACGTTCTTCTTATTATCCAGTGATCCTCTAATTGTTCCAAGGTTGGAATGTGTTGTTTTAGTCGGTAAGAGTCCCAAACAAAACTCTTTGTCTAGACAAAGTGTATCCATGAAGATTATACAGATCCCTAAGCTTTGCTAAATTGGACGAAATTAGCTAACATATCTGTATTGACAAAAGAGGCTAAGCACAATAAATAGTTTTGTTTCAATTCACGTAGATATCACCTTTCAGAACTACCTAATTGTATTTTCAAATGCGTCTTTAATATAAATAGCCCACCTAATCTATTAATACAAACATTGTTTTTTTTTAATTAGGTATGTTTATGCCTACCTCACAAACCTACCTAGTAAAAAAGATAAATTTGACCTTTATTGGTACTTTTTGAATAAGTATTATAAATAAGTACCTGCACCGAAAGTTAATAAAAGAACTTATTGTATTCCTAGAAGGACGCAAATCTGAGCACAAAGCTAGGTAGGTTTGTGTTTAATTGTGTTGTAAGTCAAGTAAGTATTGTAAGTTTGACTGCCTATTTACAGAAAATTATTGAAGGCTAATTCCTCCGATGCGTAGGTTGGTAACAAGTAACCCGTAACCGTTGGCATGTTAAATTTTTTTGAATACAAGTCTAGACTCTACAATATTATCCTTTAAGGAGACAGTTTAGGGAACAGAGAATATAGTTCCCTAATATATGTGTGTGATGGTGCCTAGAGGGCAGCTACCCGACGGTTGTTGTCGGGATTTTGTACTTGTTCTAATTGCGCGGATAGTTGCGTTGCACATTGTTGCGGTATAAAACGTGATTGGTGCTGTTGCTGCATTTTGTGCTATAGATGTCGCTACAATCCGTGTAACCATAACCCGCCCGTGCCTCGAACAGCCAATAGACCACCACA